GCATACAAGATCTCGAACAGGGCTGAAGACGCCTGGCCCTTCGCGATGATTCCTGCAAGTGAGGAGGGGGCGCGCGCGGTCGCGAGCATGGGCCAGCCCGGGCGCGGCTTTCCACTGATCTTCGACCCACGCATCAAAACCTCGCCCCATGTAGACCTAGGCTCTGATGCGCGGCACGTCCGCAACACACCTGGGCATTCTGGCGCGCGCCTGGTCACACTTCATCTGGCATTTCCCGGGGCTGAGACAGCAGCCAGAGCAAATCATACAGGAAGACTCGAACATTCCAAGCTTCATGGTTTCAGCGCCTTCTAAAACCATGGAAAGACTAGCGCAGATCTGGATCTGTTCCGCTGCACCTCAGAGCGGGACTTCGAGAAAGAACGGCGGCGAACGCCCCCCACCGCGCAGCGCGGCCATTTTTCGCGCGCGCACGACTGGGCAACGACCCCAGCGCTTGCCCGCGCGGCATTGAGACCCAGGGCCCCCCAGTGCACAGGGCCCTCTCTTCCTCGGGGGCCCGGGAAGCACCGAGCAGCGCTTCTTCTAGCTTCGCGACCCACTGACCAGGACTGCGTTTGACCTTCGCGGCTGGACCAATCTTGCCCGCGTGCAAGAACGCCCCGAACTAGGAGCGAAAACTGCCCAGTCGCTACTCGTCAACCACTAGATGCCGCCCAGTTTCCCAAACCTCACCACGAACAGCCACCCCGAGGAGGAAACAGCGCATCAAACTCTCCATGCAATGCTTCATCGAAGCCAGCCCAACGCTCAAGTCTGACAGCCCCCTTGCGCTGGGGCGCCTTGAAAGTGGGTTCGGTTCTCTCGACTGGTCTAGCTACGACAGGGAAAGCGCCAGGTGCTCTCAGCTTCCGGCACCATCGGTTAGCTTCGTTGACCTGAACCGAAAGCTGCAAGCCACAGTGAATCCCCCATGGGACGGCCACTTGGGGTTCTATATGAAACCACCGCGCGAGACCCCTAGACACGGTAGCGCAACCTTTCAAGCAACCCGCGCGTCTGCCAAGTGACGCGGCAACTCGGCGCTGTGATATCTGCAGAAAGAAATGGGGGTAATTACGTTCGCGAGCTGCCCTGGCCGCACATTCCAATCTCCCGGGATGACTCGCGGATCCGCCGGGCTCTTAACATGGGCCTACAGGGCCCAGACCTCCCCACGTCTTCATCGCGCCCCATGCCCGGGGAGAAGATAAACCGAAATCAGCCACGACTGTTGTCCCTGACAGGCGCCGCAAGACTGCAGCGAAACCAAGCATGGGGCCCCTGCCACGGGGGGGGCGTGCGAATCAAGACTGATGATGCTGCATCGCTCGCTCCTGCGCCCCCCTGCTTGGACGCGCGGCCGCCCCTGCCTCGCTGCCAGGATGAAAGACCAGGGGGGTCGCGAGAGCACTCGCGATCAGAGGCACCATCCCCTCCCACGTTAAAAATAAAGCTGGAAACGCACCTGGAAATAAGCCCACCCAATGACCCACCCCCCCATCGGCCTGCAGGGCAGCCACCATCATGACACGCAGAGTCGAAGGATGGCGGCCCCGATCCGCCGCGAAGTCGAATGCCACCACGGCGAGGGCCGAGACTTCTCGCAAGTTGGCCCGCCCTCGCTGGAGATGCCGCCAGGCGCGCCCCCTGGGACATGCTCGCCAAAGAAACAGCCACCAAGCTGTCAGCAAGAACGCCGCCGGAGAAGCGAGCAGAGCCAGAGGGCGAACTCCCCCATCCGCGGCCAGCGCGAACGCCAGCAGTGGTTGACCACGCCCTTCCACGAGCCGCCCCGCCGACGTTGGAAATTGGCACCTCCCAAGCAACTTCCTCGTCGAAATCCATCTCCAACGCTGGGAAAGGCCCCCCGCCCACGGCCGAACCTGATGCCACAGCAGACCCCGCGATGGTGTCGGGAGCGCGCCGCCTGCACGATGACGCGGGCGACCAGCGAGGGCAACGGCCACCCCCCTCACGGGCGCCCGCGAGAAACCGCCGCCGCGGCGCTTCTCCCGACTAGGTTGCGACCGCAGTCAGGGCCCAAACCAAATGGGGCAACGCTCACCTGCCTCGCAGGAGCACCGCGAGCGGCCGCCGTCGCGCCACCTCTCCCGACTGGAGTCCGCACCCAGTCAGGGCCGCGGCCAGCGGGGGCATCGGCCACCTACCTCGCGGGAGCCACGCGAGTGGCTGCGCGACCGCAGCCACTCCCGACTGGGGCGATCCCTGTCAGGGCCATGCGCCCCCATGCACTCCACAAACCTATTCACGCACTCCATGATGACGCGCGCGACCAACAGGAGCTTCGACCACCTCCCTCGGAAGAGCCCTGCGAGAGGACGCCGTAGCGCTTCCTCTCCCTCCATCTCACTGTCAGGGTCTGGACCGACGGGGGCATCGGCCGCCCTCCTCACGGGGGCCCCGCGAGCGGCCGCCTCAGCGCCGCCACCCCCGACTGGATTGACATCGCATTGAGGGCCCTGGCCAGCGGGGGCTGCGGAGGCTTTCCTCGCGGGAGCCCTGCGAGCGGCAATGCTGCAGCCGCCGCCCCCGACCGGGCACGTCCCAGGCAGAGCTTCGCACTCTTTTTCCCGGCCCCTGAGGCAGGTGCCATCCGCACCCTGTGCCAGCCGGCGGTCGTGACAACCAGATGATATCTGGCGCCGCCCCCTCGCTACCTTGAGCAGTCCTCGCACTTGACCTGCCCTGATAATTCGCACGGGCGGCCACCTTCACCTCGCGCCCCCTGCCGGGCAGCCCCCCCGCAGTTGACGTCGCCACGGGGGGCCCTGCCTGATCGCGTTGCTTCTCTGATGAAACCTCCACTCGTGAATTCACATTGCCTCTAGCTGCATCAGATGCAGCCCCGCCCACAACTGGCGCTGCAGACTGCCCCTGATTTGCGCCAGCCGCTTTAGGACAAGATGAAGCAGATACAGCTCCTGTCACTGCGGCCGCTGGCGCTGGAAGCACGGGTTGCCCTACGTCTCATGTTACGCGGCTTGAAAATATTTCGATACGTTTAGTGTCGACATGTCTTACTGCGTTGGAACAGTTTGCCGCCTGTCCGATCAATTGGTTCGCAATCGTTACAATGCTGACAGATAGCGCCTGCTGCTCGTGAGCAACTTCATCTGTAGCTGCATGCTGTACGACCACGTCATCAGGGAACGTGGACGCATCAGCCATGCCGATGACCAGCTTCTCAACTCTTGCCGGCAAGAGCGAACTGATAACCAACTTCAGACACGCCTCAGTATGTGGAATTGGCGGCTGATGCTGCTGCTGGGGTGCACGAACACTGAAACACTGGTCGTGAAATCGTTCAGCTCGACATCCCATCTGAACAGTCCAACGACTGCGACCTTGCAGCATCAGTTCCCAACGGTCCATCTGATACCATGGTTCCTGAAGCTACTCAACATAGCAATGTACCTTTCGTGGCACGTCAAAGAAAGGGTTATCCAAAGACCTGGGCCTTGGTGGTGCCGGCTCTCTCGCCAACTGGGCTTACCGTTCCTCGCATCGTTTCTCCAACTCTCCGTTTCCCATCGTGGCTGCCAGAGTTTGAACGTTGTCAACGCGTTCCGCTCCCAGCTACTAGATGCTGGTGCATGAGCTGGTACCGACATCCTTGACAGCCACAGATGACCACCAGCATCACCTCTGCGATTACCCCGCTTCCCCCCAGGGGGCCTTGGCTTCGCGTCGGTCGTCCGGTCGGCGCGCACTGCAAAACAGTGCTTGGGCCAGCTATCTCTTTGCGCATCCGCACGCCGTACACCTCCACTGAGTGTCAGTTGCTCGGACATTCCAGACCCTGGGGTCAAGACCCCAGCCTTCATCGCAAATTCAGCATTCAGCATCGGCGCTGTTTTTGTTGATAAATCGTTCTTACGAAGACCTCAAGACCCCAGCCTTCGTCGTGATGCGGCATGCCGCGGTACGGAACTGACCGTCGGTCTGCTCGCCCGCGGGCGCGAGAGGCAGGCGAGGGTTGGGGCGGAGCCGCCCGCCTTTTCCGAGAAGGATAAGTCGCCTGACGCGGATCAGCAGTATCCGTGCGGTCCACAATGGGGGACACTGCATCTCGAGGCAGACCCAACATGGCTGCGGAAGAGGAGGAGGTGACCAAGGAAAAAGGCGGAGGGAGAAGGAGGAGGCCGTGGATCGCATAAGATGACGGAGGAGGAGGGGGACGAGAAGAGGACGAGAGGAAGGAGCCGAGCACGAAACGCGGTAGGATGAAAAGGGTGAGAGGGGAAAGAACGCGATCCAGGAAGATGAAGAGGACAACAAGTCGAGGACGATACCGAGGGATGAGAACGCCACAATGAGGCGTAACGAGGAGAATCCGCACGAAAAAATATAATTGCAGGGGGGCAAAGGAGGAACGGATTGGGGAAGGAAGAGGGAGGAAATGGAGGGATAAGTTAGAGGAGGGAGGAGCGTGTGGAGGGAAGAGTAGGGGGAGGGGAGGAAGGAATGAGGAGGGAGGATGAAGATGAAGGATGGAAGATGGAGGGAATCGAGGAGTATGTGGAGACAAGGGGGGAACATCGACGATAATGAGCAGGAGGGAGTAAAAACCAGGGAGAAGGACAGAACATTATTAGACGGTCCATGTGCGCGCTGGCGAGATCGTTGCTGCTCTTAAGATTCAGCGACCAACCATAAGAAAGATCAGGAAAACTTACTGCTACCCACCCAACCCTCCACCCCTGGTTCCCACCTGCTGTGCGTGTGTGCACGCACTGCGCAGAGGCGGAGGACGAGAAGCAGGGAGGGAGCAGAAAGAGTAGGAGGACGAGGAACAGCAGCAGCAGCAGCAGGACCGCGATGAGAAAGGGGGGGACCAGGGGGCAGAGAGGGATGGTGAGAAGGAGAAGAGGAGCACGGGGAAGAAGAAGGAGGAGGAGGAGGAGGAGGAGAGGAGGAGGAGGAGGAGGAGGAGAGATGGATGGTGAGAGGGAGGAGAGGAGAGGAGAGGAGGAGGAGGAGGAGGAGGAGGAGGGGAGGAGGAGGAGAGAGGAGGAGGAGGATGAGTGAGGACGGGAAGGAGAAAGAGGACGAGGACGAGCGACCAAAACTCACCTAATCGACTCCGAAACTGGCGAAGAAGTCGTCGCCGGTCGGCGCCTCCTGGGCAGCGGAGGCGCCGAGGAGGGGCGGCGGCACCAGCAGCGCGGCGTGGGCGAGGCAGCCTGGTGAGCCCAGCCTTGTCCGCGACCTCCCCCTCCTCCTCCTTCTCCTCCTCTGCCTCCTCCTCCTCCTCCTCCTCCTCCTCCTCTTCCTCTTCCTCCTCCGCTCCTCCTCCTTCTCCTCCGCCTCCTCCTGCCCGCCGACTTCGCCTCCTCCTCTCCCTCCTCCTCCTCCTCCTCCTCCTCCTCCTCCTGCTCCTCCTGCTCCTGCTCCTCCTCCTCCTCCTCGGCATGCCCTGCCTCCTCCTCCTCCTCCTCCTCCTCCTCCTCCTCATCCTCCTCCTCCTCCTCCTCCTCCTCCTCCTCCTCCTGCTCCTCCTGGAAGGGAGGGAGGCGGGAGGGAGGCGCGAGGACGAGGAGGGAGGAGAGAGGAGGGGGCAGAGGGAGTCCACCTCATGGCCCCGTCCTCTCCCCCTCCCTTCCCGAACACTCCTCTGCTTCCCTCCCTCCCTCTTCCTGGCCAATGCTCCGCTCACCTCCGAGCAACTCTTCCCCTCCCAGCCGCTCCTCTCCCAAGCCCTTGCCTCCCCTCCCATCTTCTGGCCCCGCGCCCCTTCGCCCCCCTCCATCTTCACCCAGCCCGTCCTCCCTCCCCCCGGACCCCCCTCCCCGCCCCCCCCTCCTGCCCTCTCATCCCTAACCATCGAATCGCTCCGTATCCCCTCCATTTCACTTCTCCGCACCCCTCCCAGCCTACACTCTCTCCTCCCCCGTCTGGTCCCGTATCCGAGGGGCCTTCTACACGTGCCACACTTGCCTGCCAATCTTTCGCTCATCATTCGGCCTCAACCTCGCGCATCTTGCTTTCGATTTGCCTCGACGTGCTGTGGCATATGTTTCGGCCAACGGGCACTCCGAGCGGGTTTGCATCGCTAAGGTTTCGCCGCTTTCGGCCGTCAACCCCCTACAGCATGACTACCCAGTGGGATCTATGATTATCCATAATTCTGCGTCGGGTTTCCCCAGTTCCCCCCAGATATTACATTGTGAATCTCTGCAGGCGGGAAGCACGACTATCAGTATTCCTGAAGATGGGCGTTCTGTGGGCTCAGGTCTTTCTAGGATCGTTTCCATTGTCATGTGTTTTACCCTGGTTGGAGGCTCGCTCTCTCTCTTTCTCTCTCTCTGCTCTTGGGACGAAGCCGAACAACCTAATACTGAAGAGGCACTGCGTCTCGGCAATCAACGTAGTGCCAGTGTTGGCAGCATGCGTACCGACAAGCCTGCTCGTCGGGCTCCAAGGGTTCGACTGCCGGCGCTGGAGCTCGCGATATCGCTTTCTCCGGAGGCGGCGCAGGCAGTGCTGCTGAAGTCGGACGATGCTGTTCCTGCTGACCAGCGAGAGGAGTTCCGCGCCATGTTTGCCAATGGCCCCGCTCCCCCCGCCTCCAAGAGAGGAACTTCCTTCTGCCTCTGCAGGCCAGTGGATACACAGGCGTGGCGGCCGAGCAGGCTCCAATGATAATAGGTCGCAGCACTCTTCTCGTGCTCGACCCTCTTTTGCGGCCATCGGCGGAGAGAGGACGTGCAACGGCATATGGAACAGTCCCTTAATTTCCTAGCGAAATCATCCTGCGCAGCGTGGATATAGTTCTGGACGACATTCGTGGAAACCTTACCACAGAGAGCACTATCTTGGAGTGGACTGAGCACGTGAGGTGCCGCCATGCGATCAACACTGGGGAGGGCCACCTTGTGAAACCTGGTCTGCTGTTAGGTGTGGCACAAAGGTGGCCCTCCCCCCTTCAGGTCTGCGAAACAGGTGTTGGGCATGCCGCCGATCTCGTGGAGACAATCTGAGCAAGTGAGAATCGGTTCGATGCTTGTGCTTGCGTTGGCTAAGCTTAGGTCGGCCATGTCCCCCTACAAGCGTATTTTGGACAGAAAAAACTGCTCTGAATTAGTCAAATCAAAAAATGCTCAAAAAATCGTTCCCTGACTATTTGTTTGACTATGTTTGAATATTTCTCCTGTAGAAGGACACGCCCGCCTTAAGGCTAGGCTCTCAGCTGAGCACCTCGGGCCTGGCACCGGGGGCTGGCTAGAGCACCCGATCCCCCCGCTCTGTGGGCCCCTTGGGCCACTATACCTCATTTCGTTGGGGCCCCTTTGCAGGCTCTCGCTACTGCCCTTAAGTCGGGCCTGTCCTCTACAGGAGGAATAATTTAAAAAAAAAAAAAAAAAAAAAAAAACAATGTTAAAAATAGTCTGGGGACGAATGTTCTACCTTGCTTTCACTATTTGGAGGTATTGTTGAATATTATGATTTGTTCGTCCAAACCCGCCTGTTGGGAGACATGCCCGACCTAATGCTGCCCCCTGTGCTCGCATCACGGAACTCGACAAATTCGAGCATCAAGGTAGTCCAGTCAGTCTGCCCGCCCCCTGTCGGACGTGCGCCCACATGCATCCTTTCTGTGCGTGTGATCCGTTTGCCCAATCGTCTTTGTGACGCGCCAGGGAAGGGCCGCTGTTCCCACGCCTCGCCTGGGAAAGCTCCCCGACGGCGTCTTTCGCACGGCCTCTAAGAAGGCCTACCCCGGAGGCCTTTGCAAGGCTTTAGCCTTAAGTCGGGCCTGTCCTCCTACAGGGGGATGTTGGACGAAAAATTTAAAATCATCAAAAAATACTCCCAAATGGTCAACCATAGTGGAAAAAATCGTCCCCTGACAATTTCTTTAATATTCTTGAATATTCCCCCTGTAGAGGGACCCGCCCGACTCAACTCTAAGAAGGCCTACCCCGGAGGCCTTTTTGCAAGGCTTCAGCCTGCAGTGCAGTGGACAATATCTGCTCTTTGCGACATCCTATAACGACCAGGCCTCTGCCGGCGTGCCCCTCTGCTCAAGTATGATCAGGATTGCGAAGACATCCGTAACGGCCTCATGGATCCTCATGCTGCCCTGGATGGGACGCACAGAGACGTACTGATACCATATGTCCTCCTTGGAGGCCCCGATGCCCCCTGGGCTCGAGAGGCATCTGGGGATTCAAATACGGCGAGGGCGTCCGATGATAAGGAACCCTTAGATCATGAATCCAGGGCCTGGAACCCAGTGGAGCACCAATTGAGACTAGGCCTTGGCTATCACCACCGCCCTCATCAAATGAGGAACCTCCTGCGCACATTCCTCAACGAACGCCCCCACCATGTTCTTGGGACGCACAAAGACACACCAGACATACTAGTACTACATCTCCTCCTTGGAGGCGCGCGTCCGACCCGCACATGTAGTATACCCATCTTGTAGTATATCGGTTCCCGAGCGGTGTGGCCAGAAAGCGCCCGCCACGACGCATATACTCTAAGAGTTCTCGGTACGCACGTCGCCCCTGGGGGGGGGCGACGCACATATAGTAGAAGTATATTGGGGTGACGCCGACTGGAGAGAGATGCCCCTCATCCCCCCGCTCCTGCCCCAGATTTCGCTGGGTGTGATCGCAGCTCCAGGCGCCAGAGGTCGAAGATCGAAGGCAGAACCCGAGAAATCTCGGTTGGAGTCCTCTGACAGCGAAGAAGGCGTGCCGGATGTTGAATTTGACGCCCCTGTTCCCGAGGTTCCCGGTGGGCAGGATCCCGAGGAGCACAGGGTAGCAGAGTTGCTGCCCGGCTCCCCAGAGGAGCAAGCCTTGTCCTGGCCTGTGGTCCCTCCCCCTCCTCTCCCGTCCGCTCCGCCTGTTCCCTCTGCCCCCTGTCTAGAAATAAAAAGACCCACCCCCATAACCACCACCCCAACACGCGAAGTCGTTTAGTCAACGCGCCCAAAGAAGGGATCGGACAGGGCAACGCTGTTTCGTAAACGCCCAGGGCCGCTTAGAAAACGCCACTTGTTGGGTGAGGATGGTTTTTCCCCCCTTGACTTTCCCCTGTTCTCCTCCCAAAGGGCCAGGATTGAGGCCAAACAGAGCGGCAGCTCGACGCACCCGAGCCGAGAAGCTATACGTTGACGAGTGGCGCCGCGTGGGGACGGGACCCACCGCGTGCCCCTCTCTTCCCTGAACCTCCGCACGGACCCACGGGGGCACAAGTGGAGGAGGCGCGCGAGGACATGCAGGCCTTGCAGGACCTGCTGTCCTAAGCTCCGCCCCGCCCCTCCCCATCTTCTTCCTTTTCTCTGCTCCGCTTCTTGTTAGCTCAAGAATAAGAGCTCTGACATTGAGCACGTCACCTGGCCGTGCCAACATTGCGCGCGCGCGTCCAGCCCCGTCGCATCACCTCCCCAGTCTCCCCGTCCCTAACCCGATCCCCCTTCCCCTCCCACAAGCGCCCCCCTTCCCCTCCCACCCCCTTGCTTTCTCCTCCGCCACCCCCTCCCCTTCACCTCTCGACCCCTCCCTGAAAAGCTCCGCTGCCCTCCCCACACGAAGGTGCTGGAGGGCCAACGCCAGAAAGCGAGGAGACGTCCTTGGCCTTCGGCTTCGGCTTTGGCGCTTCGGCCTTGAGGCTCATGTTCTTGATGGCCATCACCTCCTTCTCCTGAGGCTCACCGCTTCCTCCTCCTCATAAGCATCACCATCACCAGCATCATCATCATCATCATCATCATCATCATCATCATCATCATCATCAGCAGCAGCAGCAGCATCAGCATAATCCTTATCAGTATCAGCATCAGCATCAGCATCATCATTACCATCAGCAGCATCAGCATCATAATCGGCATCATCGTCATCATCACATCAGCATCATCCTTATTGGCATCAAAATCGCCAGCATCAGCATTATCAGCACAATCAGCATCAGCAACCGCATCAGCATCAGCAGTATAATAATCATCAGCACCATCATCAGCATC